TTGTAGATAATTTAGTAATCTTTCTAATTATCATGGGTACAATTCATAAAAAAAATGCATACTTTTTGAGTTATTCGCAAATAATGTTTCTTTTTCTTCATATAGAACTATTTTTGGCATGTGAAGGAGAAGAATATCTTCAAAATGCGTGATCAATCATTGGATTTGATGAAGAATTGACGAAGTTATGGCGTGCCGACAAAAACACCTTTTAGAAATAATATATAGGATATTAATTTCGCAAATAAATACATTGTGATATTTTTAATATAATTGCCTTTGTTAATCCATACAGGCATACACCCCAAAGATTAACGATCAGCAAAACACATACTTACAGAAACTAAAATTTTTGCAATCAGAAATTATAAACCTATTAACTATAGCTCCCTAATACGTAAACAACAAAACTTTACTTATCGACTTACGACAAACTAAGATCGACCGACACAAACGTATTCCTTACTCCCCATTTCATATTAAACTACACGGATACTAAACAACACTTATAAACAACAGAAACAGCAGACATGCCCATCAAGAGGTGATTGAAAAGATATTGGTTGAGATATCTTTTCTGAATTATGGACTATAACAAAATCAAAAAGATGAGCTACTGGATACTGTCCTTCAACAAATCTGCTGACTGTCATATTCTTCACACATGAACATGAGAAATAAATCCTGGATATTTTATTCGAATTACTGCAATTGTTGTGAAATTTTAAATAAATTATATTACTCACTATTGAAATCGATGGAAATTTTTAAAATATTTTTTTAGTTCTATTTCCCAACACATTATTATCCTGATTTAATTCATCAATTTATTTTTTGGTATTTTCGGCGTTTCTATAATAAGATATTGTTTGACGAGTTTCCTCAAGGAATGTTTCATTTGTCAATTTCATTAAAAAAACTTTTCTATATACTTTCTAGCCATCTTTTTTGAAAATTGTCAATGAGAAACCAAAATAAATATTAATAATTGATTCAGGATTGAATTCTTTCAGGTAGCAAAGGGATCACCAGGACATTAATGCCAACATACATCACCCGGACAATCGAAATCCGTGCCTTTTGAAACGTCTCTTAAGTACCGGCCAAGAATACCCAACCGCGGGAATGAAGATTTACATAAATCTCAAGCCATTGTGGCAAGAGATTTGCCATGCCTGGGTACTGTAGGATGCAATGAATACGCTGCATAAATAAAATTGAATGCAAACTCAGCTACGTTCTGCACACCGTTGGATTCTATTGGAGTGAGATATGCAAACAAAACAACAGTTTATTACTGTCTACTATTGTCTTTGAAAGACAATCAATAACAAGATAAAACTAGTAACAAAGAATTATACACGTTAACAATTAAAAAAATATATATATATTTATTTAAAATGATAAAATTATTATATAAAATTAATAAAATATTTATATTGGACAGTTAAGCGCGAAACCTCATCCCGATCATAGTTCTGATGAAGACGCTTATCGCTAGGTCGAAACGTCTGCTTAATAAGATAGATTCTATTATTTAAATAGATTTTTTTTTCTGACCGCACTCCGGACCATATCTTTCCTTAATTAAATTATTATTCCTTAAAACCCTTTTGTTTTAAATTAAATAATGTTTATTTTTCCTAGGAGCTGGATTGCTCAGTGAGCAAGGTCAAGGTCCCAGGGTCGAATCCCGGCGCATGGCAGAAAAATTATTTATTCTGTTTCACTGGCCGGGGTGTGACCCTGGGGTAGGGAACCCTGCTGGGGCACACCCAGCCTCTACAAAGTGGTTACCCTTAATTAAATAATTGATTAAGGGCAAAAACCTGGAGGGAAAAGCGGCTGAGTGTGATCCTGGCCCGATCCCCTTCCTGCACAACCGTTGGCCTTGTAACAATACTTTCCCTAAATAGTACTGACCCTTCATGGATTGTAATGGTACAGGTTTTTTTCTTAGGATTGATCGGATCTACTGAATATAAATTTAATTAGTTTTTATAAACAACTTTTTGATTATTTAATATCAATCATATTTTTATAAAATTAAAACAAGTATAAATATGTATACAATGACATTCAACACCAAATGACTAAAAAATATTTTCATACGTATACCAATTAAAATTAAAATTAATATTCAATAACATAAAAATAATCAATTAAAATGTTAATTAATTAAAATCACTAGAGAATTTATTTATTTCTTCATTTTAAGTGCAAAATTATTATAACAGAGAAATGATGCAAAATTCAAGGGCTTTTAAAATTATTTAACCTCACTAATTCAGTATCAGTATAGTCAGTATAATCGATAAATTTAAATGGTCCGTGAAGTAGATGGGAGATTGTGGTAGAGGACCGGTTAACACAGTTTACTTGTCAAACTGTCAGCTCGCGTCTTCGTCCCAATCCTCAGCTTTAGCTCCTAACAGCTTGTCTTCCTCATGATTCGTAGTTATACAACAGTTAAGAAATACCTAAACGCTTCGAATAAACAAAAGAGACAAATATAGGAACTCCTCCTAAAGTGGAATATATATATATATATATATATATATATATATATATATATATATATATATATATATAAAATAATATATAAAATACATAACATTTTCCAACGCATATTACTTACAACATCTGTGCGGTTGACCAGCGATATCGTTGGTTACACACTTGTGCGTAACCGAGTGCGTCAGAGGTGGGATTTCCAATATTTCCTTATAACTTAAATTCTCGGAAGAATAACATCAATTAAAATTCCTGTTTTGAAAAATTTTCTGAGAAGTTTTTCCTCCTAGTTTGTGGTATTTGTGGTCATCATAAGCATCCCCTCCAAATGTGTAAGCTTATTCATCTTTCAGTGCGTTGTATTTCTCAGTATTATTCCAATACTCTGTACTTAAGTCTACCTATCCATTAATATTTCCATTTAATTTTTTTTAAATTAAAGTTTAGGCTTTATGCTTTATAAGATACGTCGTGTAATTCAGACCGAGCTATAAAACTAACAACCGCGAAATTAGGTTCAGAAAAGAGGAGATAGAAGGATGCTGGGAACAGGAGGGCCTACAGATGGAATAAATACTAATAATTAACCGAATGAATAGGACTGTCACGACAGAAAGGGATAGGGCCACTAAAGCCCAATAGGTCCGGCCTCTCGTAATTAACTATTAAAGCAACGGTTATTAAGAGCAATCCGGCAGCTGGCCCCCTGCGGCACTTCTTTATGTGTCTTCGGCTTGGAGTTATTGCGGCTATCGACCGTTCGGTGTCTGCGGCCCACCCCGGAGCTGTCAGGGTCCTTCCAAACACACGCTCTATCCTCGTGAGGCTAAGAGCAAAGTAGATGGGAGATATATTCTTATTGTGGTTCAATATCATTAAAATATCAGCGTAAACGCTTTCTCCAAAAATAAATTGAAAGCAATATCCATGCGAACAATAACTGTTGGATGAGATATTAAATGTGTATATATGTAATTGAGGAGGGTGTAAATATGGTTTAATAAATACAGCATAATTATCCGGAAATTATAAACTAAGTCTCTCAAATGTACGAAACAAACAGATCGAAAATATAAATCAAACCAATTGGCGATAACGAACACCGCTTCAAACGGTAGAATAGCTAAATATAGATTCGCCAAACCTTCATGTAAGTATGGTTTCAAAAATGGAAGAAGCTTGTTGTATCTTTATTAGGTCAATCTGAATCAGTAGTGAATCCTGGATTTAATTTTTTTTTTGGGGGTGTGTGGGTTGTTTTTTTTCATCTTATTAATTTTTAATAATGTTAATTACTTCGAAAGAAAGTACAAAAATTATAAAATATTGTTTAAGTGATTCTTGAAGATATATATAAAATAAAATACAAAAATATGTATTCACACAAACAATAATGCTTTTAGGAATATTTTTTTTTTAATTCGAAATACACGCGATATATATAATAAATTTAAAACGCGTACATATTTTTATGGTTGAAGTATTTATTTCAGATCACAAACAAACAACAAATATGGACCAATAACAAAAAAAAAAATATTTTTTCAGTTGGGGGTGCTTTAGTCTGAAAGACCTACTCGCTTCCTCTCACCTGCATTTATCTAATTTATTGATTCGTAGTTTTTATTTTATTTTTTAAATGTTATTTAAGACACTCAAGAATTGAATTGTATTTTCGCGATAATAAGTTAATTACAACTCTTAAGAGTTTTTCGCTGACTATTTATAAATATAATATCAAAATAGCTATTTAGGAAAGCAATACAAATTAGGGTTGATTTATTATTACAAAAAAAAAAGAAACTATAAACCATGTTTTTTTTAATTTCTATTTTCTCTCCTACCTTGCATTTTCGACTATATGGGTTTTTCTCGGACTAAGGGAGAGGACGATGGATTAATTCCAGAGTTAAAAGCCATCGGCACTGAGACTCGAAATCGTAATCTTCAGTTTATTATCAGGTTAATGGGCCACCCCCAAACTATTATAAAACATTGAAAAAAAATCTTGTCGTTCTGATTTCCTCAATCTAAGCATACTTCTTAATTCTTTTAGATTTGATGAAATATCCCCATTTAAAGATGATGAATTCTCTGGGTTACGAACTGTCCATCTTAAACTATTTTTTTTTTTTTTAAAAAAAAAGGTTGTTTGATTCGGGCTACGCATGGCTTGTTGCGAAGTAAGTAGAGCAGAAACTGTTAAAGGACCTCAGTGAGTTTCGAACTCAAGTAAGGACTAGTCACAGGTCCAGAATTCACTGAATAGTTTATTAAAAAATTAAATCAATTTGTGTGAAAAATAAGCATAATTTTTTTTTTTAGATCAGTTTATACTCTAATGTCTAAATTATGAAATAAGAACGAGCACGGAAAGGAGCAAAACTGCAAGTTCTCAATTATAATAAATAAACAACTAGCAGTTACTAAATCACACTACTTGTAACGGTCCCGCCCTTCGACGACGTTACATAACATGGAGGAATATGACAGCGTTGCCGCGCCAGAGCATTGCCATAGCGGAACCATCGGCCTTAGCACAACTATATCTGTCCTCCAAGGCCGATGTCCTTCTTGGCCCAAGACTGCGACCTGATCCAGCCCGTTGCACCAGTTCTACTCCTACCTCGGCTGGATATGTAGGGTACGGCAAGTTACTGACCTCTACAATAAAACCTTTAGCAAAACTTTAAGGCAAAACAACGTGAGAGACATAACTCTTACTTGGCAAGGTACCTTGTCGTGTACTCTAAGCATATCCTCTTCAATCCATCCAAGGCGATGCCCTACCATCCGAATGTGCTCAACTTTGGAATTTCCAACGGTCCTTCGAGTCTTAAAGTGTACAACAGCTAACACCACTTGGAAGGAGAGAGGTTTCGGGAGAAATGGAGTTCTTGAGTCAAAGATGATCAAGCAAACTCCACACAACTAGATTAAGGTAAATGACCCCATAGAATACAAATGTATTCTAAAATATTCGTAAAAAAAATCCTAGAATCACCCTCATCCAATGATTCATAATTATTCTTTATAATTAAACTTCCTTCATTATCATTTCATGTTTCTTCCATTAATTTTTCTTCGCATAGACTTACAACATAAAATTTAATGTTCATTCCATATAATTATCAAGACGAATTTAATTATTTCTTATAACCTCAATAAAATTTCTTTAATATTCTTTAGTAATGCATTAAATATGCAGATGAATTTCTAGCAAACAGAAACGACAAATTCGCAATAAAATTATTGATTAAAGTATCTACTTTTAACAGTGAAAGCTTTTTAATATGTACATGCAAATTAGTATAGATTCCTTCGTAAACATTTTAACTCAAGGGTTTACATGCTAGCTGAAAGTTACAAGTTTGTAAATTAAAAAAATATATTAAAGATATATATTTTACACTAAGGATTCATGATCTGTAAATAAAAAAAATAAAAAAACCGTCACAAGTCACGACAACCCATTAAGGGTCTAGGGCTCAGTACATTGTAAAGAAGTGATGGGGTCGACATCACGCTTAACCGCCAGGCTTTCCTCCTTAATTATTTATTTAATTGAGATTGCCCACTTTATAGAGGCTGGAGGCGTTCTAGGAAGGTCTTCCAACGCCAGGGTCCACCCACGGCTAATGCAGAATTACTTGTCATCAGCCGGATTCGAACCTGGGACTTTGAGCTTAGGAAGTCAATGCTTACCCACTGGGCTGCCAGCCCCCTAAATAAATAAGATTTCGTTTTGCAATAAACAAAGAAAAAGAGTTTTTATAGTAGTAACTTAAATAAGGCGAAAATGGAGGAAGGCACTTTTTGTAATATACCCATCGATTTTCAACATAAGGATGTGTTGTTAGGTTTTTTTTTCACGCATGACTTAAAATTCAAACGAAGATACAACCAAAAGACGATTCGGATACAGATTGGATAATAGCCATATCGAATGAAAATGATACGATTTGAATCCATTATGTTAGGTTGTATTCAATGGTAGTACCGGGGGAGAGAATTGTGTTGAGCGAGTCGGCCCAGCGATAAATACTAAACGACGAAGCGGCCTTGACAGGGCAGACTCCTTCGTGACGGGAATCTGGAAGTCGGAGGAGCATGTCCTCTTCACCATGTCTTTTGGAGGGTCCTTCAGGAGGGTAAGAACCTGTACCAAGGGTCAACCAGGTAAACAGTAGATGGTAATTTGGCATGACAAGAGGGATGCTACTGCTCAGTAGATATCATATATTTACATGGTGAGAATGTAAATAAAAATAAATATGTAATGTAATGAAGGGATAGAAGATGGGCAGATACGAAATTCCAAAGATCAGGTTTCCGAAAAAAAAAAATCATTAATTAATTACAGGTTTTGATTTAATTTTTTTATTTTCACTAACTAACTATGAAATATGTGTAAATAAAGGAAAAGTATTGCATTCATGAAATATTCCGAATCCGAATTACAACGGAAACACGATTTTTTTTAATATTCCAATGGAAAGCTTAAGATTTTAGAAATTTAATAATCAATATAAACGTGGTAGAAGTTAAAAGGAGAAATTAATGACTAGTAATGCTTCTACATTTATATTCATTAATAAATAAAATGTTTTCTTGGTTTGTAACTATGTAAAAATACAAAGAACAAAAAATAGTAAAACTTTTATATTAATTGTTAGTTTATATTTATTCATAGAATACTATGGTCAAAATGTATTAATCAGTTTATAATTAATATCGAAAGCGAAAATCGTAGGATGCACTTGATCATTTTCATCTAAAGCAATTTTATTTCATTATATTTTTTAAATTAATTTAATAAGGACAACAAAAAAATGAAAATTTGTAATATTTACTTCTTTTTTTTTAACAACATATGTATAAACAAAGTAGATAACGGAGGCGTAGGTGGGGGGGATTTTATAAAGACGGGTCGCAAAAGAATTGGATTTAAGGGCGGCTAGAGGACTGTGATATCGGATAGCTTTTGTTATTATTATTATAATAAATAACATTGAAAGAACCTATTTAGTCAAGGTATTTTTTCCAAACAGTAGATTAAAAAAACTCTTGTGATAACCATACGATTTTCCATTGTGCACTTTTAGAGCGAAATGATTATAATGACGAAGGAGATAAACAGACCCTAGTGAACCATTGGTCTTATAGATATACTTATCTAACAATTACTCATATACAAACAAACAACAAATCCTTCGTGTTAATACAGTACTTTTTTAAAAAAAATTCTTTATTGAATAATATTGCATTCAGATTCAAGTAAGGGCATTCGTAACAGTGATATATAGTCTATATATATACACAGTACTAAAAACAATATAAAAAAAGTCACTAGTTGCCGACAGTAAGTTACTATTTATGAAACGAAACAACAAAATCAAACGATGGTAGCGAATTGAAGAGATTAAAATATTTAACAGACAACAAAACAAACGGACGTCCTTGCCCTCAGGATATTGCGTGTATTAAATATTTTTTCCCTTGAGCATTTATTTCAGTGCCTACAAAATATTTATCTAACTATAATTTGATTTATTTTTTTATTTCATTAATAACTACAACTTTAATACGTTGCAATTTTTAATAGTTTTACTCATATAATAATCATATTCCTAACTGATAAAATCAATTCTGAAGTTTATTTTCTCCACATTAAAATAAATTTAAAACATATTCGATATTAGGTTATTATTATCATTACAATCCATACGCACAACAAATACGATCAACCAAGTGTTCTAAGCTTGGCAATTTAAGAAGTTTTTACTACATTTATTTATATTTCTACCCAGAAATATAAATGTAAATAAAGAAATAAAATCAATAAGGCTAAATGATTATAACTGGAAGTATTAAAAGACAATGGAACAAACGGACGTCCTTGCCCCCAGGATATTGCGTGTATTAAATATTTTTTGCCTTGAGGGTTTATTTCAGCGCTAAAAAAATATTGACAGTCACAATTTAAAGACATATTGTAATGAAATTCCAATAAGGTGCATCTAACCTTCGTAGTAGCACACGGCACCCAAAATATAACCAAATAAATAAATAACTGCGAAGAACAATTTTTTTTTTTCAAAATTTGAAAACTTATTATTTTAATAAAATCAATTTTAGACAGGCGACTGAGAGTATTTAAAAAATAAAAATAATTCCAAATTGGTTTGTATGGGCGTTTAAATAATAAAAAAAATAACATCGTACATAGAAAAAATGAAAAATTATCAAGCAATTATTTTTGACATTAATTAACTTATATATTTTCCGAAGTTTTAATTCCTCAGCAAAAAAATAAATAAACTAAATTTAAAAAAATCAAAATAAAATGTTTTAATTAGTAAGTCTATCAGATCAGAAGAAGCGAGTTTTGACATTCTGCAAACCGTCAGCCGCATGTGTAGAACGATTTTTTGTTTCAGGCGCATGCGGTATACAGCTTTGGATTAGAAAAATTGTATTGCGCCTGCGACTGACACTTATAACTCGTCTTGAAACAGTACTGTTACTAATACATAAATGCATAAACCTGAGAGATCTTCCGAAGACTATGATCTTGTTGTGAGTACCTCGCAGGAGCTCCTACCTGTCAAAACTAAATAAAAGCTGCGCTAAATAGTCCCTTCTTCAGGCGCATAAAAAAAAAAACCCTTAACCTTGCCGCATCCGTTAAAGTGTTGATGTTTTTTCTTCTGTTTGATTACAGGCAATCGAGGGTAAGAACAATGGAGAGCAAATGATCACGGTCGACTAGAACCGTGTCAGATTTGCAACCTTGGTTGGTTCTTCCTTCAATTACCCGGGCCATCTCCCCCGAGCAAACTGAAAAGCGTTTTAATTCGGCAAAAATCGAACACTCTCTCCCTCGTAATAAATCCATAAATAAGCGAAATGTGAAAGTAAAACTGGAAGCTGCATTTTTTTTCTCTTTATTTTAACAGAATTATTCCGAATCGCAGAACAACAGAGATCGCTTTCACTGTAAACTGGAATCGTAACAGACCAATCCGACTTTTGCTTTCAAATTACAAGACCTTCAAGAAAAAAATTATTAAAATCGTATCAACAAACCATAGCAAGTAGGAAGGCATCACTCTCTCACGGTAAAATGAACTCAAAAATCTGAACGGAAGTGACGGGTTATCATTGCGTAAGTACCTCGGATAGCACCAGTAGCAAAATGACTTCCGTTTCCACGGAAGGTGGGAAAAATTAATACTCGATTAGGTCACAAATATTTGGTTATACAAAATTTTTGAATACTGTTGCCATGGGAAAGACCGTATTGAGGAAATCCCCCCCAAAAAAAAGATCACCAGAATAGTTTTCCAAAACAGAAAGTATTTTGTAATATATTACATGATCCTTCCACTAACAAAGTTGGTAACTTCATTTTTTTTTTTTTTTTTTTTTTTTTTAGGCTCAACCTTTTAAATATATAGCTAACAAAAATTTAATAAAAACCCATTTTTACCCCAAACACAAACAATGCAGACTGAACTTACAGTTATCCTTTTTTGTTCATATTTTAAAATTATTTTCCCTAAGCTATGATTATTTATGATGAACAAAAAAATTGAGTTTCCAGAAAGATTTTTTGTAGGTGAATTCTTGCTCACTAATTGTGAGTCCATAAAGTTGTTTTAAATTTATGAATGATTTAAAATTTAGTTAATAAAACACGACTTCAAATTTTCATACAGTAAATAAATATTTTTATCAAGATTTATACATTTTTATACACGAAAATATTATGAGAATTTATTTCATTTAAAAATTAATTTATTAATAAAAAAATATACTATGCCCATACATATTGTTAATCCTATATAATTGTACATTAGTTTTAAAAAATTGTCTGTAGCGATTAATAAGAATGCTGTGTCTTAAGCAACTTAATGTAATTGGGGAGCACCCATTTATGGTAATAAAGTGATTCTCATTCTGTTTTCTTGGTATGTGCTTAATCGCTTAAGAACCTGATTTATTACTTAAAAAGAAAACTATTTCTGATTTTTCAAGTATTTGGTTCAGATGAAAAAATATTTGGACCAATGAAAAAAAAGATGTATTTTGAGAGGAGGGCTTCAGCATAAAATCCCCACTCCCTTGAATCTCGATAAAAAAAATATATTTTTTTCAACTAGCATTCCACACTGTATAAATTTCCGAGAAAATTAAAATACAATAGTAGACAAATATGAGGAAGTATATAGTTCTCTTAATTTTAAAGTTTATACTATACTACAGCTTTCGTAAAGAGTAAAAAAAAAAATTTGTATATTGTCTCTCGTAAAACTTCACGAGTAGTCCTTGAAATAGAGACATTGCAAATGTTATGCCAAAGTGCAAAGCTTTTATTTTTTTTAAGATTGCGGGACTCTTGACATTCACTCCTACGGACATCCGGGACTCCTCAAAAGTTACAAGCTGACAGTTACATCTGATTGCATTCTGACAGGTCCAGAGGCTGTCACAGGGGATGTAAAATGAACTCTTGCGCAAGATCAGCATTGGATATAAATGTAAGAGATAAGGATCAAGAGACTCCGCAATGCACTTAGCTTGGGCAGTAAACTGGCACCCATCCTGCTCAAATGCTTGGTGCCTCATCCTCTGTCAGAACATGAAGGAAACGAAACATAAAGTACAAAACGAGCAATAGATTCATATCAACATCGTTTAAAGTTGGAAAAAATTACGTTATAATAATTTATAGGGTAGGAAACTACATTATTTAGAATTTAAACTGCAGATAAATAATCGATATCGATGAGTTGAATTTATAATTTCTTTAATAACCTGTTAAATAATGATTTTGAAAATAAGTTTAAATCAACAATTTTCTATTGCTTACGTTACAAATTTATTTATTATTTTTTGGTATACGTTACAAATTTATTTATTATTTTTTGGTAAAGTAAAAAATACTGACTTACTCATAATAAACATGTTTTTTAAAATCGATTAATCATATAAATAAAATAAATTTTATCAATTAAATTGATACGAAATTAGACGTAGAATGCTTAACCAGCCAAATCTTTTAATACAAATTTTTTCACAATTCTGTACAATATTAGACCGAAGCAGCTTCGGATTTAATTTTGGGGCTAACCTTTTTTTTATTTATTTATTTTTAATAACAGTAATGAGAAGAGCAATAATACTTATAGAGGTTTAATTTTAATATATTTCTACTGGTTACATTTAGTAACTAAACTAAATACGTTATAATTTAAAAGGACACGTTGTGATTGTTTAAGTATTTGGACCAAATCATTCACAGAAACAACAGCAATGCATGACAAGCGTTTAAGATATAGAGTATTTAACTTAAACAGTCTTAAATTATATGAAACTTTATATATCTTTTTATCTGATAAAAAAAAAAACTTAAATAATACATTTTTTATAAACTATTTTATTGATTAACGTTATGCAACTATATGGAAAATTATCATAGGGAGCAAATAATTCATTCGTACAATATAAATAATACTAATTTTCAAACTCACGCACATTTTATTTTATTTGTTTACACACTTTGCAACTGCGCAGTAGCGCATTTAAGAAATTGATGTGAACTGCTTAGTTTTTGTGAATTCATTTGATTTATTGAATGGTTCATTGAGTTATTGGCGAAGAAGCAGATATCTGAGCCATTTTATGTTTAATCTGCGTCGAGCGGGTAGCAGGCAGGAGGAAATCGATAGTGGATTGAACAGTGAAATGTAAATTTGTCGTGGATGTAAGCTTCGACTGTTGAAATGATTAAGTCGTTATGTGTAAAAAAAAAAAAAAAGATAATTTTATAATATAATTGTAATCACAAGAATATTGCAAAAGAAACTTTCTAAGTATGGTTCCATCACATAGGTATCTTGAGACGGACAGCAGCTGGAGATCCTATTTCCCAGAGGATAGCCACATGTCCAGGCCTTCGAAAATATTTACACAGAATGGAAAAGTTCAGCTGTGCACCGCGCCCAGGAGACCTTGACAGAGTTCCAAGGAAGGCTCTAATTCCGAAGCTGTCCAAGACTTGAACAAATAGCTGAGACGTCGCCTAGGAAAACATTACCAAGCCCGGAATGCTGGGAACAATTAGAGAATAGACAAAGAGGGAGCATCTATTCATGGCGTCATTTGTAGCGGGTCTGCCTTAATAGAGACCAGTTCATCAGGATCCGATGACTGCTCTAAGACACATCTGCCGCGGAAGACAATGAGAGGATAACGGGTGGAACAGAGGACTGCGGTGAGCAGTTGGTTATTCTATGGATCTATTGGCTTGGATGACGTCCTCCTATAATAAAAAAGTCAAAGGCTAGAGCAATTACGAGGCCTCATAGTTTCATCTGTCATTCTAATACCAGTATGTCCTCTTTAAATGAAATGATAAATTAATCTTTATTCTGTGACACCCTCAGACTTACAATGATGTACAGTTCAAGAAGAATTTGTCTCGCTCTATGATAAAAACTTATTTTAATAACCTGATACATATACGCATATATAGTTGCACAAATCTAACTTAAACACTTATACTTTACAAGTAAGTGGAAGGGACTTTGGACACGAAGGAGGGATAGAAGAAAGCAAGATGAGTAATTCAAGAAGAAATTTTCTCTCTGTAGGAAGATTTTTTGAAACTAAAATATTGGTATAAGGAAGGAATAAGTATTGTCGACAAAAAAACTTTGGAGAAAGCTATTCTTGTTCGGAATAGTAAGATATGTGGGAACATCAGAGAACACCGAAAATGTATCTTATAAAGTATTCACTAATCTTTTTATTCTCTTTTCGTGAGAATCCTCCGTGGTCTGGTTGGGGAAAAATAAGTGAGGATACTATAAGATTTTTTTATGAAGAGATCTTCAGAACTCTAGGAGTTAAATTTTACTGACATATATTCATTAAAAAACCGAAATGATTTAACTGCTTTGCTAAATTTCAACTAATAAAGAAATACAAACATTTTAAGATGATTAACAAAAGATAAAATATCATTTATGAATTTTTATATGTATACTAAATGTCCGAGTTATTACCTTAACCTAAGGTAAACGTCTGAAGGGTAAGGGTTCCACATCAAATAGTTTAAGAATATTGTTTTATCTTTGAAACTTCCGAAAATTGTCTAATTACAAGTGGTGTCTCAGATATAAATTTCACTCTCATGCATACACCATAATTACTTAAGGATTGGAAATACTACTACTAAGGGTTAGGGGTGAAGGTCTCGCATTTTCTAATTCCGATCATTTTGAACTAATTGCTACAGTTAGAGGAGCTTGCAACTTTCTAGGCACAAAGCGGGCCAATTTAGCTTCATTTCCTGCCTTCGACAAGGAGCGGAAATTTGGATGGAATGGAAATTCGGATGAAGACAAATGGCCGGCCTCGACATGATATAAATGTGAAATCATCAGCGGGTGGTCTTTTCACAAGATAATATACTCCAGTTTGTAGAATATTCCGTTATGCATTACTTTTTCGGATATCCTCCCGCAATTGAAATTTTCTTCTTTCAGAACATTTTATATTTAAAATCTATTCTCCTTCTCTAATTAATGGTGCGACGAAATCCACCTGCTGTATTTGCTGAAACAGCTGCGTACCGAATTAGTTTATCAGCAAGAATAGTATCGGAATCCGTCTTGGAATTCCAGCCGAATACCTACCGCTTATTTTTGGGACAAACAATAAATAACCTGAAGGGCTTAAGGGCTGTTAGATTAATTGAAAAAATATTTTAAGGAATAGAAAAATATCCGTGATTTATTAACATCATTGTTATGGTTAATGATCAAGGTTTAATATTTTTGCAGATATAGTGAAAAAATATATTTTTAAGATTTATGGAAATTAAAACAGATGAATTATTCAAAACAGTTTTAGATATAAATTATCTTTATATTAAAATTTTATTAAATTATATTTATAAAATATAATAATAAAATGATAAATTTTATACTTAATTAAATGTAATTCATAATAGTTTGGATTAGAAATATAATTTTTAAAAACAACAATTATAATTCCACAAGAATTATTTTATATATATACATACAAGACGATATTTTTTTAATAAGCACAGAAATTTAAGATATGAAATATTTTTTGGCAGATATTTAGTGAAAAAATATATTTTTAAGATTCATGGGACGTTATATAAAAGGTTTGAAATTCTAGAAAAATGGAAAAACACAGAAAATAATGGTTATTTTTCTATCATGAAATTGTTCACATAATTACTTGGTAGGTCGAATTTAGAAAAATTTTGTACTTATTTTTGTTGTCTTTGATAAAAAAAGGGACAATTCTCGTTAAGAGAAAAGATACTACGAATTCATGAAATCAAATATTGTTTAATAAAAATATTCCAGACTGCTGCTACATAAGGAACACGGAGTATCCGGAAGACATAACTTATGTTATAGCATGATGGTTCAAAGCAAACTTTGTTTTAACGCCACCTAAACGACTGAGGATCAATCCAAAATAAAAATGGGTGAATTTCATATATTTTGGCAAATTTGTTCAAGGGGTATAACTAACGATTATTTGAGGTATCGGCATTAAACCACCTTATTAGCTAAGTCTTGGATGCTAAAAATGTTTTTCTTTGAATATACATGAACTAAGATTCATTTATTTATATACATATTTGTGTTTTATTTTTCTAAAATTAATAAAAAAACTATTTCTAGCGTAAAATATATTGCCTGTGATTATAAATAATGTAATGCGAGGAGTTTATAACTGCACAACCTAGAAAAGAAATTCTAGACGTTACAAAAGAAACGTGCAAACTCGACAATAAAAACAGCATAGATAAGGTAGAACAGAGTATTGCTGGAGCACCGACGCCACATCCTTACTGAAATAGGCGGGCAGCATTAATTATACAACAGTAAATAAATTAAAAACAATTACTAAAATATTTCAAATAGAAAATTGAAACAGCGGATAACTTATGAAAACGGAAATATGATTATATCACAAAAGATTAATTTAATTATAGTAATCAGAAAGATTAAATCGACTATCGAATTATGAAGCTGAAAACATGAACTAATCTAGTAATTAATACTCAATGTTTCAATTATCTCAACAACTATTAAATGTTACATTATTGTTTAGAATTCTTGCATAAAAGGTGGTGTGCCTTCGGAAGGCTCTTGCTCCCATCCTGCTGTAGCTAATGCTGCATTTCAATATGATTTCATAATATTATGGGGGTGAAAAATCATGTTTATATTAAGAAAAAATGTATAATAAACCATCAATTTTAAAGATAATCAACGTGCATTTTCGACAGGGTTAGAGACAGAAGTGCCCATACTCTCTCCCACTAGGACGGTAGCGCATCCCCCTCCCAAGAAAGTATATTGTCCCCCTGTTCTTAAAAAAGGTGGAAATGAAAGTAAAATTATTAAAAATTGTTGTTTAGTTACTACCCTTAATTTGAAAATTCATCTCAATGCAAAGCCAACAAAACTATGTTTCTCTTCAAAAATACTATAAATATGAAATCCATGAAAACATCTCAACTTTGTAAAATTGCCCCCTCTCCTCTCAAGAATTTGGATGGCGCAACATACGCCATGGGACTCTCCTCTGGGCATCCCTGATTAGAGGAACAGAAAATTCCTAATTTCTAATTAGTAAACTATGCAATTGAAGCTTGTCTTGTTTCATATCGACTTCATGTTTGTACGTTTAGAGACTTTGTAGATCTTTTGTCGCATTAACAAGAGTTTTCCAAATCTGCTGGTCTTAGGCAATTTCTTTCTAGTTATCTGCATGCAGTTCTATTGTATCAAATTGTGACTGTAATCAATAACATTAAATTGTTTTTAATAATACATGGGGTAAAATTTGTTTGTTTTTTTTAAAGTAAGGATAGAATTAATAAAAAGTTTACGAGATTGACGCAATGAAAGATCCTTGAGATAGTTTTCTGCTCAGCCCCAAAGATGGGATATGCCAAGGTTGTGACAGTTAACATTGGACTTTTGTCTTCAGCACACAGAAGACATAACTTCCTAGCGACTTATCTATTAGATAGCAACACATCTGTAAAATCTATCAAAACATTTAATAAAGAGAAAATCATAAAATTATTGATTGTTTCTAAATTTATATCATGATGTTTAAACTCTGGATTTTACATTACATTTGATAACCAATAAGTGCACAACCTATTAATTAAAATAAATAAATAAATGTGATTTTATTATTTTAATTATTTGCTTTTATTTTTTTTTAAATATGATATTTAAAAGAGATGAACCAAAAGATGGATATCCGTTATCTCGATGTAATTAGGATCACGGGCAGTTTGTTATGCAGCATGGTATACCTCATTCGCCTTTCAGATAAAGAGAAACTAAAATTGATTGTTACAGGAATAAAATCGGTTAAAATGACTTCATAATTATGATAATCAATAATATATAATAGAGCTTCTCTTTCGCCCTGAGAATGTTTTGATACAGCCAGCCTATGAAGGCATGTTTCCACGGCGTCAGCGGATTCCGAAGATTTTCACGGTTCCCTGGTTTCCAAGGACAGGAGATCAGCTGACAGCTGCGTTCCCCCCTCGACCAAGAACTGAGGTTGGTTCTGCCAGAGGATGCTACATCGGCTCCTTGCTTTCCGGTTTGACAGGTAGGAAATGAGGAAATCCAACAATGAAAACTAGGTCCCATTGTTCTAACTTACAGCAATCCGACATCAATTGTCCCTAAGAAAAAAATATCTAGAGCTATTTTCTTAAAATCCGTCCGATTCATTAAAGATCTAATTAAGAAACTGTGAGTTTTAATGTCTTTATTAGAGACCATCGTTTAAAAAAAAATTCTTATAATCCTGCCTACTGTTCATAGCGAATGAGAAAAGTGCGCGTTTTCACTAACGATACACCTATAGGTTTGGAATATAAAATATTGAGACAGACAGGTAGGTAATATTGACAGGAAGAATCAGCCAACTGGAGAATTCAGGCGGCTACAAAACGTCGAATTGTGTCAACTTTACATTATGGCGAATACAATCGGCGTGTAAAATTATTGGACTATGAACCAATCCTATAGTAATGAACAAATTCTTAAAAAGTTTATAAGAGCTGAGCTGATTGGTTACCGTCCGAGGGGTAAACCGAATCGTAGGTGGGAAGATCGCG